GGTGGTTGGGTTGGCTCGGTGGGTGGGTGGTTCGAGTGGTTCGGTCGGTAGGTGCTTGGAGTGGCTTGGTCGATATAGGTGCTTGGTGTTGCTCGGTTGGTATATTTGCTTGGAGAAGCTCCATCGGTATAGGTGTTTGGAGTGGCTTGGGCGGGATAGGTGTCTGGAGTAGCTCAGTCGGTAGGTGCTTGGAGTGGCTCGGTGAGTAGGTGCTTGGAGGGGCTCGGTGGTTAGGTGCTTGGAGTAGCTCGGTGTGTAGGTCCTTTGAGTGGTTCGGTGGGAAGGTGCTTGGAGTGGCTCGGTCGGTAGGTGCTTGCAGTGGCTCGGTGGGTAGAGGTTCTTGGAGTGGCTTGGTCAGTAGGTGTCTGGAGTACCTCGGACGGTATAGGTGCTTGGAGTGGCTGGGGCGGTATAGGCGCTTGGAGTGGCTGGAGCGGTAAACACGCTTGGAGTAGCATGGTTGGTAGGTGAGTGAAGTGGCTCGGTCGGTAGGTGTTTGGAGTTGCTCGACGGGTAGTTGCTTGGAGTGGGTTGGCCGGTAGGTGCTTGGAGTGGCTTGGTGGGAAGGTGTTTGTAGTGGCACGATCGGTAGGTGCTTGGAGTGCCTCGGTGGGTAGAGGTTCATGGAGTGGCTTGGTCGGTAGGTGCCTGGAGTGGGTCGATCGATAGGTGATTGGATTGGTTCATTCGGTAGGTGCTTGGAGTGGCTCGGTGGGTAGGTGCTTCAAGTGGCTCGTTCTGTAGGTGCTTGGAGTGACTCGGTGTGTAGGTGTCTGGAGTGGCAAGGTCGGTAGGTGCTTGGAGTGCCCTGGTTGTGTAACCGATTGAACGCCGTGAACGCGTGTTCACGTTCAAACCCGCGCGTTCAATCGCATTTAAACGCGCTGCACGAGCGCACGCGCGAAAAAATTGAACGCGGTCCCGCGGGGCGTGCGCGCGCGACTTGGGCTGCGGGTTGGTGGTCCGAGTTCAACAAACCGCCAAAGTGCGAAAACCGCCCCCCGAGACCACCACATACACCCCCCCCCACCCGCGGTCCCCGCCCTCGAAACCACCACCTGCCAAGCCCCGACTCCCCTACCCCCACCCA